TCTTGGACCGCGACAGCTCTCATTCAACATGTGGAACATCTACGAAGTGAGCGACCGGGTGCCGCACCAGGGGGGGACACCGTAGTAGTAGTAGTAGTAGTAGTAGTAGTAGTAGTTGTTGTTGTTGTTGTAGTAGTCGTGGTGGTGGTGGTGGTGGTGGTGCTGGTGGTAGTAGTAGTAGTAGTAGTAGTAGTAGTAGTAGTAGTTAGTCGTCGTCGTAGTCGTCGTAGTAGTAGTAGCAGGAGGAGGAGGAGGGAGTAGGAGTAGCAATAGCAGCAGCAGCAGTCGTGGTGGTGTCGCTGATTGGCAGGAGTGTGCAGGTAATTCCGCGGCTCTTTGGCCATCCATTGTAAAATGCACAAGAACGCGACGAGTTGCAGAATGACAAAGAGCACGACCATGAGTAGTAATGCTAGGACGAGTGCTCTCAAGAACCCCAAATCCTACAAGATGTGGGTAGTTCTCTAAATTAGGGTCCCTTTTGGGGTCCGTCTTATAAGGGTGCCGTAATATATTGGGGACCCAAAAAGGGACCCTAATTTAGAAACTACCCGTGTGCCCAAGCCACCTCATGTTTGCTCCAGCTGCACCGACCAGGGCAGCATTGGCCAGGAAGCCTGAGTTCGCTCGGGATTGGCTTAATGTAGGGGCCTTAATAATTAGAATAGGGTTTTGGGGTATAAAATACTATAACTATAGCAAGGAACCCCCCCCCAGAATAGTATAGGTAATTATGACTGTGTAGGGTCTGAGGTAATCATCGTGCGTGCAATCAGTATCACTACGAAGATTAAACTGCTGCGTCGAGCAGCAACCACGACAATTCTCCCAGAGTTCAACAACAACAGCAACAGTGTCCCTCCTGGCTCCTGCAGCTCTTGCTCGTAGCTTCTTCTAAGAGCAACAAAGAAAATCATCACACATTTTCCATATTTTCCGAACTACAGTAGTCTGCGTTCCGAGCAACCTGTCAAGTCGATGGCGCCTTGCAAGTCGAGGTTTGGGGCTGAGAGGCTTAATTAGGTTCTTGCCTCATCGTTTGCGAGGCAAGGGCTGTGGCTAGGAAGGGGCCATAAATTCAAATCAGCCCTCACTATGCAGATTATGCAGATCAGACCTCCTCTATAGGTTGATGGCATTGTATCCTTGCGGTCGGTCGACGCAAGTAAACCGCTCAGGGAGTCTGCCGTCTCAACTTACACGAACGACCCCCTCGGGATGTGGAATTTGCGACCTGATGGGGCCTTGCTGCTAGTTCCGGGGTATATTGCAACGCATGTGCGGGGGCTTACTATGAAAGCTCTGCTACGACTGCGTTACCGCTCTTCGTCCGTTACAGCTTCCATGATGGTCTGCTTATACGCTACTGCCCAGGACGAACTGCTCCATAGCGGCCATAGCGGAGGCTCCTAGCCCCAATAGCCTAAGTGGTGTCATGTTAGGGTTTAGGGTTTAGGGTTTAGGGTACCGAGAGCCCAAGCTACCCTGAACCCTAAACGCGGGGAATCCAGCCCAGGCAGTTTCAGCAGCCGCTTAGACACAATCATCTAAACCTGGCCCCTACCGAAGCGTCAACGTCCCGAGTACAACCCAATTCTCAGATGTATTCCATGTGTTCGGCGCTCACACTCGGACATTCCATGTTTAGGGAGCTTGTGAACTCCCGAGTAAACTTTAGATAGCCATTGCACGACGCTAAAATTCAAAATTACATCTCCGTCACAAAGCCTGAGCCCTTTCTATACAAGCAGTCAGGTACGACCCGGTAGCGTGGGTACAGAGAAACCCTGAGGCAAGAGCAATCCCATAGAGCCTGTACAGGCAAACACACACACACACATAGCAACCCTCATGAAGCCATATAAGGGCCCAACCGAGAATCCCACAAACCCAAAGAACACTGTAAATCTCAACACACACACACACACACACTTCAAACCCGAGAAACCTACGACAATCAACCTATAGATCCAATGAGAACCCCTTGAATTTCTATGAAAAAGCCTACATGCACAAGGAGGCCGAGGCGCAGCCGGCTTGGACATTGAAGGTTGGACCTGATCGGCTTATGTAGGGCTTTGGGTTTAGGCTTTAGGGCCTTAGGGATCAGGGTTTTTACCCACCCACTCAGCTACAGCTGACACTGTGGTTTTCGACTCTCACACTCGCACAAGGCAGGCAAGGCTGCACACACTGCATGTGGTTTAGAGTTTAGGGGCTGAGCTCTAGGGTATTGGTTGCCACGCATTCACACCCCAGGTAGTTTCATAATTCAACGCAGCACACGGCAGATTCTTAGCGCAACCCTGCGAAGCGATCGAAACCCCTCCTTTCAGAGACACTCTATAGGATTTACTAAATAACCCTAAACCTAGCCGAAAGAGCTTTAAACTGAACCCTGGACCCAAACCCTACAACAAAAAAACCCTAGACCCTGAAGGCTTACACCCCCATGCACTGCGCTGGAGTCTAGACCCTAAACCCTAACATCCTCAAGCCTTTAACTCCCAAACTCTTAATCCGCAAGTCCCAAAACCGTGACAAGCTTCCACAACAAAAGCACGAAGTCGTAAAGCCCAAATCAATGAGGGTATGGGATGTGGTGTTCCGGGGTATGGAATTAGCTTTGAAAAGGAGCTTAGGGTTTAGGGGTACAAGTTACCATATCCTCGCTCAACTCTCCCAGAAGCGAAGAAGGGGATGCCCGAAACTCAAACCAATCCAATCTGCAAACCTCACCAAAGACGCTGTGCCCTTGTATCTTCTGCCCCAACTCACCGCAAACCTGCTCACCTAAACCCTTGGTTTAGGGTTTAGGGTTTAACCCTAAAGCCCCCTTTTGAATCCAGACTCTGCCAATCAGCTGGGACCCAAACCCTAAACCCTAGGCCTTAACCATCCTCCCGTCAACCCCCGAAGTCTTAAATTCCAGACTCCCCAGACTCAAAAACCCTAAGACCAGAAGCCCTAAACATACGTAAACCCTCAGACCTAAGAGCGTGCGATTAAAAGCCATCTGACTACCTTAAGTGAAGCCCAAAACCTCTCGACCCCAAGTCTTCCAGATTCTCTTGCGTCCGAGTGGCCACAGGAGTTGACCCTCGGAAGCCAGTGGTTTGATGGAACCCCACAGACGGATTTTGTTTGCTGTGAAAGGCGGGGGGTTTGGGCTGTTTGGAGACCCCGAAAGCCCCAGACCTAGTGTTCGGGCCGCGCCAGCGCTTAAACCAATCCTTGGGGAGGAAAACTAAGCCTGCAATCCCAGAGCACCCAAAGGCTACGTCCCGGAACCCCCAAACGATAATCTCCTTCTCAAACTGGCCCCAGGCACATATCCTCGATGTAGATAGCGATGTAGCCCCAAATCGCCAGGTTCAGTTGGACCATAGCTGCGGCAGGCAATTAGGACAGGGTTTCAACTCTCCCTTTCGCACACTTCTTTCTACTAGCTGAAGGATTCCGTCTCCAACTACCCCCCCCCATCGGGCCTGAAGCACTAAACCTCCAACCAGCGTCCTGAAACTGCTAATCACGGCTGGCATGCACTCACCGAACCCAAGGCATCGCTCTGTAGGTGTCTTGTCAACACGAGATGGGAAGCAACCATTAGGGTTTAGGGTTCAGGGTTTAGGTTTATGGTTTAGGGGTTTTTTGCCTCCTACTTAGCAAAAACTGGGTTTAGGGTTTTAGGGTTTAGGGTTCTGTCGCAGGCCGAACCAAACAAGGACCTTAGCCCTCGTACGACGTTGAAGACCTCAGACGGCCCTGAAACCGGGAACCCTTGTACAATGCGCCTGCGCAGGAATCCTGCTGGGCGGCATCCAAGGGGTAGGGACTCTTGCAAGACTTCGTCACCTCCGAAAACGGCACATGTGGTAGCATGTCGCCAGAATGTGCCGTCGTCGTGGTTATGGCAGTTGCAAGTGCTAATTCAGCAAGCGCGGCTTTTGCATCGACGTCATAGATACGCAGCATCATAACTAGTGTCTTGTATAGTAGCCCGATTCCAACAGCCAACAACATCTTCTAGAGACAGCTTCTGAAATGCAGACCAATGAGTACCAGTCAGAGCCATGTGGCCGTGCGGATGTTAATGATGACCCTTGGACAGTCGCACGCTGACCCAAGCTTCAGGCAACAACTCGTCTAGCGGCAGATGCGTTCTACCGGTGTTTCTTCATGTGCCATTTCGGCCAGATTCTGCGGCGTGACTTGGCCAAACGACTTGCAAGCCCTGAACTCACGCCCAGATTTTGCGAACCTGCCTGAAGTATCTATGGTGCAACAGGGCCAGAGGGGGAATAATTGCCGACAAGTCTCTGACCAATGCTCGAAATGATCTGCGAGGCATCGATAGCACAAAGGGCCTGCACAGCGACCGGAAATAGGAGCCGTTCGGACGGGGTTTAACTCTAAAAAGCACGAAAAAGTCACGGAAGATAAGCGTAGCTTGTGATGACATGGACCGCAGAACAAGGCACCGCAGTTGCCAGGCTGGGTGGTTTTGCGATCTTCCAACGGTGCTCAACGCTTTCTTGTTCTGGGGCTCGGGATTTTTGTTGTTCCTCCACACCTCAGACCAAAAACACTATGTTCCCCACACACCCCCTAGTAATACAAGTTTTCCTAATATCCGGTTTTAATAAGGAAACCTCAGTACAAAAAAGGCAAAAGGGTACTTCTGGGGAACCTTTTCACACCTGGACTACGCACCTAGAACACAAGCAAGAGCCAGAGACTCAAAGGAATGCTTTGCAAGAATGTTTCTGCGGGCTCTCAGGCCGGGGGCTCAGTATGCCTTCGACGTGTGAAGTTTCAATAGTTGAAGCGACTCTACTCAGCCTTTCTACGTTTTCTCCTGATCGACTTTCATCATAGTTATGCTACCTAGAATCCTTGACGTGGCCGGTTTAGGTGCCTATAATAATTATAATGTTTCTTGTGCAGCATATCCATACCTGAGCCTTACTTCGGAACTCAGAGAAGATGAATTACAGGGGAACACGGTCAGATTCCCATAAACTTACTAAGCTATGTGACCTTGGGTATTGGGGAACTAAGATATGTTACTAATAACTCAAAACCTTACTTACTAAGTCCCATGACCCTCAAAGTGACACCTAAACCCTACATTAACCCAGAGAACTCGGGGAATATCCTTCAACATAGTCTGCGATCCCTGGCATGAGCTAAAGGGTGTCGTTTTGCTTACTTGAAATACATTGCAGCATCCGGGGTTTGGAGGGCTTTGAGGTCGACAGTCTAGGGGAAGCTCCCAAAGAGCCCAATACCCCTTAATTAAGGAATATAGCTTAAATCATAATACTAAGGCCCCTATAATTTAAGGTATATTCCTTAATTAAGGGGTATTGGGCTCTCTGGGCTTTTTGCAAGGTGGAATCAGGACCTAAAGGGGGCCTGGCCAAGATCCATGCGGCCAGTAGAAGAGTGGGTTGTTCGCACAGGCTGTGTTTTTTGCTGAAAGCGGATTTTCGCATCAAGGATTGAGCTTCGACACCTTTTGGTCTTATAGTTGTGGTGCATCTGTAGCCACAATAGTAGCACCTGTCAGGGTCAGAGTAGGTTGGCCGGCGAGAGAACCAGAAACGCTGATCAATGCAGGATCAAAGATGCACCCTAAGACCTTACAGTCCCCAGAGAGCCCAATACCCCTTGATCAAGGAATATAGCTTAAACCATAATATTAAGGCCCCTATAGTTTAAGGTATATTCCTTAATTGCTTAAATCATAATATTAAGGCCCCTATAGTTTAAGGTCTATTCCTTAATTAAGGGGTATTGGGCTCTCTGGGTCCCTAAATTCAGGCACATACCTTAACTTAATGGCGTGGGTTGGAGGTTTAGGGTTTAGGGGTTTTGGGTTTAGGGTCTCAGGGTAGCGGTGAAGGAGTTTTCACCCCAACTCCCAGGTGCTACCAAAGGCACCCAAAGCATCTGCCGCATGACGTCCAGCTTCCCCACATCATCGGGCGGAACCTGCTCAATGTTCTGCTGTAGCTTCCTGGAGGCCAGCAAGAACGGGTTTGGGTTGGAGATGTGTTGAGCTCAGTTTTTCCGGAACATCTGCGCGAGTTTCTGGGAGGGATTAGGGTTGGGCTTCAGCGTCGCGGATGCGGAGCCGTTAGTCCCGAACCATACATCCCTAAACCCTGAAGAAGAACCCTCTAAAACAAAAGCCGATGCTGATACCGGGCTTCATTCAAGCGTGGTGAACAAAACATGCAACCCAAAACAGGCCCAACCCCAAACCCCAGTGTCCATAAAGCGTAAACCCTAAACCCCACTTGATGCCAGAACCCCCCCCCCCCCCTAAACCCCAAACCCTAAACCCTAACCAAACCGTGACTTCGTGGGTCCTTCTCGGAGCTTGCGTTGCTTCTCGCAGCTTCGTCGCCTCAGGCTTGGGTTCGGGTCTTCATGATTTACGGCTTGGGGTTTCAATAGAACTGACAAGAATCTAGTGGGTAGTTATCAAAATTATGGTCCCTTTTGGGGTACCCTAATAATAGGTGCCGTATTATAATAAGGACCCCCAAAAGGGACCATAATTTTGACAACCACGCTAGTCGAAAGCTGAACCCTCAACCATACATGTAAGGCGCAAGGGCAGCGAGAAGCAGACTCACGAGCAAGAACTTGTATGCGACTTTCCAACCCTCCAGCCCCCGAGCAAATCCATGTACCCAGAGACTCCAATATTCCTTAATTAAGGAATATTCCCTAAATTATAGTAGGATCCTCAATATGATTTAAGGTATAGTCCTTAATTGATGGATATTGGAGTCTCTGGGTAGAAGAACCCGAACCATCTTTTGGGGCCTCAAAGCTTAACTCTGACTAGCTTTTATGGGTTCTGGTTCAGCCCTCTAGCCCAAACCTCGAGGGCTTTGGGTCAGGACATGGTCACTTAGGGGTCCGTCGTCTTCGGTGTGGAGGCTCTTGCTCGAGTCTTACACCCTGAGCTCTACAATCCTACATCAAGGCCCAAAGCCCCAAAACCTTATTTAATTGGGGGTTTCCGAAAATAGGGGACCCTAATATAGCACCTTAAATAACAGGATCCCCATTATAAGGATCCCAAAATAAGGTACCCCTTATTTTCGGAAACTCCCATTTCTTCCCCTGAAGCCCGGCCCTGTAAAAGCCTCAGGACGAAGGCCCGAACCCCTCGCGCATCGTTGGGCGCTCCGGGCTTCGGGATTACATTGCGTTCACGTTTGAGGTGTCTTCCAGAATACGAAAGACATCGCCCATCTTTTTCGAAAAACACTGCCACGAATGACTTCAGCTTCAAACTGCAGACCTACATAAACAAACCATTTTCAAAACCCAGCCCGAAGTCCAACAGACTATATCAGCAATCCTGGACTATCAGGTTCTTGCTGCGTAAGTCCGAAACCCCAAACCATTACACCCTGTGTAGAACTCTTCTACGAGCTCTTGAAGGGGCGCTTGTAACAATCCTTCTCGGGACCCCTGTACTAACCCGGGATGTAAAAACCAACTCCGAGCACGGAGCCCCAAGCCGTCCTAGCGGCATTTACAAAAATTGAAACTTCAATCCAGACTCTGTCGGGGTTAAGGGTTAAGGTTGAAAAACCAACTCGAAACCCTTAGCCTCATAAACCGTCTGTCTTTTACTTCGCCGTAAGACTGCTGAGACCCAACCAACCGGCTTAGGTCTTTACATTTTGAAAGTGTCCTCTGCGATTGCGGGCTTTGGTTGGGGGGGATCACTGTTCGGGTTTCGCTAGTCGTGTGGTCGAGTCAAGCTTGGGCACGTTCTTGAAAAGCTTCATGTTGTAGTCGAACTTGAGATTGTTCGGATCCGAGTGGTCGATGTCAAGGTATTTCACCTGGAGCGAAACATGCCGCAATCAGTGTCCCCACCCGAAACCAATAGCACACCTGCTGCAACCCGTCAAATCCCAAAACCAACGCTTTTGGAGGTTTGGAGCTGAGGTTCATGCTTTTACAACACTGCAATACCCCCATGGCCTTCCGCCAACCGGAACACCATCAGGATTGAGCGCTGGGTCGGGTCAAAGGTTCGATTCTGGTTGAGGGTTCGGGTTTAGGGTTTAGGGTTTAGGGTTTAGGGGTTTAGGGTTTAGGCTTTGGGGTTGAGGGACTGGGGTTTGGGGTCTAGGATGTACGGTATCAACACTTCAACTACGTAAGCCGAAACCATTAAAGGACTGACAGACCTACTTGTAGCTCCCACGAACCTTCACATCCCTAAACCCTAAACCCTAAACCCTAAACCCTAAACCCTAAACCCTACTGAATTACTGAACGCCAGGCCCCGAAGATGAAAGTTCCCGTCCTGCTCCCAGACTTCGCCATCTGGATAGAGCGCCTGGCAGTCTCTGATCGACACAAGGATGAAAATACATGAAAATACATAAAAAGCTAGGGTGGTAGTACCAACAACGAAATAAAATGATACTAATAAGAACGACACCAAGAATAACACTAGTAATGATAATCATGATAGCAATAGTTACCCAACAAGAATAGTAAGCCATAGTAACTACAGCACAGATATGTGTAGCAGCAACAAACTGAGCCCATCATGAAAATGGAAGCAAACACCCTTGGCTGAGTCGCTCCCACATCATGACACACTGCAAGCAAGACGTCCACACGCTGGGCTGTATGGATACCACTTAACCCAGAGACTCCAATATTCCTTAATTAAGGAATATTCCTTAAATTATAGTAGGATCCTTAATATGATTTAAGGTACATTCATTAATTAAGGGATATTGGAGTTGGGAAGGTTTCGGGATGTTTCGGTGCTCACACTCGGACACTCCCGTCGAGGCATGTGGTTTGAGGTCTGCATGGGCGAAACTTTTTGGCGCCCAAAACTCCAAGAGTTCACGGTTGCGGCGCTCACTGTCGGAGAAACTTCGTAAATTATGAGACTTCTGCAAAGAAAGGCCGACTCCAGGCTCGGGTAGAAGTAGGGACGTGTACCAAGAACCAACGACCGGGAGGGTTCAATATCTATACCTGGATCTGTATATATATATATATATACATATATATCTTGATTTGCTGGTTTTTCGTTTACAAAAATGCATCTTACCACTGAATACAAAAACAGAAATACATATGCATGTATAGTACATACATATATGTATGAATAAAAAACAACAGCCTCAATCTACATGAGTGTAAACAAGCAGAAAATATGACTACAAAAATAAATATAAAACACGTGGGCATATACTTATACTTATTTATCGGTCGATTTGCTTATTCGTTTATGAACACACATATCAAGAATTCAGATCAAGAGGGGTCGAGCCTTGACTGTGTTCAGTAGCTCGCCGAGCTGACGTTTCGTTGGCATCTCGACCACGCCCGGGTTCCTTTTAGGCTTGAAAATGATTGTTTGGGATTCCTGTTTGCTGCATTGAACCAGGCTTTCAGGGTTTCAAAGGGAATCACTTGTGTGCCTAAGATATTTCATCGCGCTAGCTTTGGAATTTATTGGTTTCGGGGCTTGCGGGTACATGCGGTTACAATCCAAGCTCAAGCACTTCTAACATGTAACCCTACTTGCCCTTCTTCACAAGGGGCTCGACTGCTGCCGTGACTTACCCTACTTCTGACATCTTCTGACTACGCACGAATCTTCAAGCACTATGTTGTCACCACATGTTGGAGGTCCCGAAGCTTTTCTTGAAGGTCCATGGGCAAAGGACATGTCTAGAAGTGCCCATGAACCATCAAGCAAACCCTAAGATCTAGACCCTTAACCCCAAAACCCTAAACGCGAAAAGCCTAAACCCTAAATCCCTAAACCACAAGCCCAAAACCCTAAAACCCTAGAACTCTGAAGCCCTAAACCCTAAACTTAAAGCTCAGGATCTGCATCCACTTGTAGTCGGCTTCGTCGATACTGTCGTGAGGCATTGGTGGCAAAGGCCCAATGAAGGGCTGCTCCGACTTTGCCGGAGGCTCCCTTCTCAGAACCATGGCAACCTCGCCGAGATCTGTGACAAACTACTCTTGTTGTTTGCGGTTGAGTTTTAAGAGTCTAAGGGAGTTTACGCTCTCACAACTCGGAGTCTAAGGGAGTTTAGGGGCTGAGGATTCAGGGTGTTTGGGGTGTTGGGGCTTCGTATCATAGCGGAGAAAAGCCTAGATCTTGAGCTGGGCTTTGTGCCGCCAAGGAGACGGCCAAGGCCCCGCAAGCAAACGCCAGAGTCAAGGCCTCGCCATAGAAGTGACATGTGGAGGAGTGGCTATAGAGTTTGGGCTTGGGCTTTACGCATTTGAAGTGGGTCAGGAGCTTCTACTTGGCTTACAAGTACAATGATAAAATCAGCTAGAAAATACCCTGAGCCTGGCATTTTGGTTTGCCAGAGACCACATTCGGTATAACCAGTGAGACTTATAATAATGATACCAGTGAGAGAGCGAGACGAGCGGCTCCTGTGGAAGAGCCAGAAAAATAGCCGCAGACTAGCTGTGCAAGGCAGTAGCCACTCAAACCTAGACTTTTTTACAACCCCTCAACTCCTAAGGAAGGGGCCTTGATAGTGAGGATATAGGATGATAGTCATAGTGCAATTATGATTTTGTGCTGAGTAGAATTAGAGGGGAGCATGAGTACTGATCATGCAACCTGCTAGATGGCACCCACACCGCGGCCCGCTCACCATGGAACTGCAATCAAGGCTCTCCAGATGCCATGAAAGCACGGCCTCAGGAACGTTGCACAAAGACTCTGTCATCGCCGATGTATGCTTGTCTCCAGGTCCTAAACGCATGGTCTATCCACCAAATACAGCAGACCTGGTCGCATGCGAAACACCATCGCGCCGAGTTGGCGCGCAGCGGTGGTCACAAAGGTTGTGTCTTAAATCTTAAGCCTCAAAGATCAGCACCTGAAGGCTCCAATGCTACGTGTTTCCCAGCTGAAAGCTTGCGAAGTCGTGGACGTGCTGCAGGTTTAAAGTGTTGAGGTTAGTAGTTGCAGGGCAGGGTGTCATAAATTTCTGCGAAGGCGCGGGGGTTAAAAGGTAAGTGCCCTTCGCTTTGGAAGATCATGTGCCTCCCCGGCGTCGTAGCGGCTAGGATTTTGACGGCAATACAGTGAAATGAGTTTCGCGTTCATGATCAACTAGGGCTATGGTTTACTTGGATCCTATGCTTCACCCTCAAAGGGTTGCCGCTTTAGTTGCTAAACTAGGTACCTGGCAACTAGAAGCATGTTACCTGGCAACTAGATGCATGTTCCCACCCCAGGCAACAAAAAACCCTGAACCCAAAGACACGAAAACGAATGACCACCGGCCCGAGGTGCGACATGTACAGGAAGCATCGGGCGACGGCTCCTTTGTGCCGTCCTTGTCGCAACGCAGCGACTGACAAGAAAAAACGAAGACCTCTTTTCTGACTCCGCTGCTCCTACTCCTACTCATCCCCCTGCTCCTACTACTACTACTACTACTACTACTACTACTACTACTGCTACTACTACTACTACTACTACTACTACTACTATTACTACTTGATTTGAGTCACTAGAGCCCTGCAAAGGCGGCGTTACGTGCA